CAAAGGCAGCTGCATGGTGATTGTGCATTGCAGCACAGTAAATCAGACCAAACTCAAACGCTCGAGGACTTCTTTTCAAGTCAAAGCCCTGCGCTCGTAGATCCAACCTCACCGTGCTGAACAACTCCTTGAGTGTTCTCACTGCCCTTTCCACACCACCAACCGCTTCATGTCCCTGCGGAGGTGCTCTTTGGGTCACAATCCTAATCCCCAGATTGGCTCTCTTGATGAGGGCGCTCACCGCTGTCTCGCTGTCTGTCCTCAACAGTACAGCAGACCCTGCAATGTCCAGTCCGAAAGCATTCATCCAATAACGAATCCAGCTGGAGGTATTGTCAGCATTGGTCCCTACCAACAGACATCCAATCATTCTGGTTGACATTTCAGTCATGACCAGTACTTTCATGTTGGGAGCCGTCGGCTGGTCTTTCGCAAAAGTACCAGTTACCAGGTTGATGAAGCAAAAATCTGCTTGCAACGCCACGGGTCGGTCTTGAGCATCCTTGGTCCGACGATGCTGGGTTGTTCCTCTTGTCATCCGACAATGAGGACATTCGGACGAAAAAGGAATGTGGCCTCGCATCCGATGCAGCTCCATTTCTTCTTGCTTTTTCTTGGTCATTGACTGCACTGACTGCATCTGATCAACCTCCATCGGTCGTTGGCCATCATCCACATCCATGGGTCGAACCTCAGTTCTTCCAAAGGTTACTTTCTTTCGCTTTCCAGCATCACCTTGCAGGTAGATCCAAGGACATCCAGCCCAGGATACTCCATATCCCATGACTCCTTTCTTCTCGTGTCGCAGCGAAATCTCTCTTCGAGTGAACTTCACTTCCCAACCAGTATTCACCATCTGCTCGGTGCTCAAGATGTTGTGAGCCACATCTGCTACAACTCCAGTCACACACACCGATGTCAAACCAAGATACTGCTTTCCTTCATACATAGGCAGCAAGGCTCGGATGCGAACTCGCTCGAAGACATTCACCGGGGTATCGTTGGCTGCTGAGTACCTCTCATTAGGTCCCAACGCCTTCCGATCCAAGATCTGGAACTCATCCAAGTATCTTTTCGCAATCACAGTCACCGATGCTCCTGAGTCAATCAACCACCATTTGCTTGCATCATCCTTTTCCATGCTTTTGACTTGATTCATCGGAGGTTTCATCAAAGACCGAACTGACTTAGATGGCAACATCTGAGATAAATCGGTAGAGATCCGATGCTCCAACTCGGCAATCCGGACTCTCGTCTCAACTTCCCATGACCAATCTATCTCATCAGTACTCCGGGGAATCCACTCTTTTCTCACTTCATCGAGCAATCCTTCCAGAGGTTGCAACACAGATTCCACTCGGGCCTCTGACTCAGGTTCATTCCATTCACCTCCAGTTAGCTGGTAGTCACTCGACTCACCCTCTTGGGAGACTTCAGCAACTGTCTTCCCCTTTCCTTTGCCTTTTCCTTTGGGCTTTCCCTTTTCGGGCTTCTTCTTGGGATCTCCTTTTGCCTTGGCTTTCGCCTTAGCATTGGGGGAATTGGGCTTCTTGCCTGAATCTCCCTCCTTATACCAGCAATCGCGGGCATAATGTCCCTTTCCACCACACACATAGCACTCCACATCCTTCTTGTTCTGGCTTGAAGCTCGTTTGCCAGCACCTTTGCTTGATTCGCGCTTGCCTTTCTGTTCCTTTCCTTTGCCTTTTGGTTTTCCTTCGTTGCCCTTTCCCTCATTGGGATCTCGAAAAGGTTGAAGCTTCGTGCCAGGGGCTTCTGACCACACCCTTTGTTGCACCTCAAACTTCAGAGCAACTCTTTTCAGATCTTCAAACGATTCACTATCGCCATGCAACAAGCAATGGCTTCTACACCGATCTGGCAAACTGCGCAGCAAAACCATAACCGAATCCGCTTCTTGGATCTGCAAACCACCAGCATGCACATCGGGATCAAGACTATTGAGCAGCTTGGTGTACTTGTTCAACTCATGCTCAATCTTTCGAATGATCTCCGGAATACTGGGTGCTTTCACGGTTTGATTCACCAGCTGCGACCGAAAGAACAGGCATTCAGCTCGCGACTTCAGGCAAAACTCCTTCGCCAGCAATCTCAAAGCCACAAAACCAGATTGTTGATAAGTGCTCTCACTTTCAACATATGTCTGCAAAATCAGAGAACTCTTCTCATGATTTGCAAAAGTCTGTCGCAGGATGTGCATCAGCCTCGTCGACCTCTTCTGTTGCTCCACAGTAAGTCGATCCTGTTTCAGCCGAGACTCTTCTTGAGTCTTCACCGCATGCATGAGCTCATTGGGAAACACTTCTGAACCCAAACCAACCCAACTGGTCAGCTTCTCCATCCAGGTCAAGAATCCAAGAGCTTCAGAGATGCGATCCTTCCAAGACGAAAAGTCAATGGTCGGCAAACTGGGCAACCATTTGTCCGATCGAGCAAACACATCCCTTTCCCTTTCTTGCTCCAGAGGTGGAGGTCTCAGTGGGGGACTTGGGCTCGCCATCCGAAAAAGCTGGGTCCCCTTCGCAGGAGTACCCACTGGCGATGCACCTTGACATCCCGAAGAAGAACTGGGCATGTTCTCAGGAACACCATCCTGAGGTAAGGGGGGATTCACCTGTTGCTGTTGCTGTGGCTGCTGTTGCTGATGCTGCTGTATCATCCACTGCTGATGCTGCTGCTGTTGCTGCACCATGGACGAAGTCATCGTTTGCATAAACTGCTGTTGCTGCACAACCAGTTGCTGCATCATGCTTTCCAATTCTCGCACTTGTCTCGTCAACCCTTGCACGTCGGGTGATGTTTGTGATGGTGTCACCACAGGTTGAGGAGGTCCAGTGGATAGTCCTGGTGGTAACGAAGGACTTCCTACCGCTTGCTGAGGCAAACCAGGGGGAAACGAAGGGCCTCCCATTGTCTGTTGGGGTGCTCCAGTAGCTACCCCATGAGGGCTTCTGGCGGGAGTTCGACCTCTGGGCACTGGGCCATACACAGGTTGGCTTCCTTGTGCCAAACCTTGCACCCACAGTGGGTTGGGATTTCCCAAACCCGGAAAAGGGTCTACCCTTCGCCTTGTCTCAGCATCCATGATGGGCACAGAGCTTCCACGCTCTCGTCCACCTCTTGGACTCCTCACATGAGCTCCACTGGTATGTCGTGGGGATGTATTCAACATAGTTCCTGAACTCAGGCTCCAGCCTGCAGTCTCTCCACAACGTCTTCTGGCGAAAATTCTCTCACCAACACCAGATGGTCCAGGCTCCTGAAGAACCTTAGTTCTACTCTACCAAGCACCGTATTCCTCCAAGATCGGTCACAACCAATCCAGTTCCAGACAAACCACCTTGCCCGGGCTCCAAAGTGCCTCAACAGCCGCTGAACCAACTGCTTCCAAGCCTGATGAGTCCGGATCCGCCTCCTCACAGGATAGGCTTCCCGGTACTCACTTACACGGTCCGAGTACAAGAGATTCCGGTCCACTGGCAGTCTGGGCTCCAAACCCAAACTTGCCTCCAGGCACTCACAGAGTCCTGACAGACAACCAAAGACCATACACGGGCTCGTACCACAAGGCACAAGCTCCGCTACCACGTGAAAAACCGAAGGTCCCTCTGGTACCTTTTCCCTTGAAAGCACGAACCCTGACCTCTCACACAAGTGCGGACAGCTCTCTCTTTTTCACAGTCAGAGCCACTTGAGCCAAAAGTCACAAAGTGCACAAACTAAACGAATTCTCTCTTGTGAGCTTAAACTCAGCTTCAGAACGAAGTTCCTACACACTGCACACTCACTAAATAGCGTATTGGGCAAAAACACACTCGTATGATTTCCTTGGAAATCAACGAGGCATAAACCATCGAGGATGGGATCACACGGATTCCCAATCACTCCGAAGCAAAACAAACCTGTACAAGCTGATCCAAAACATTGACAAAAACATCACTGATCAGCCACAATCTTCCACATTGATCTTAGACTGCGGAAAAACAGCTTCAATCTTCACATGCACCGCAAGAAAGGTTTGGCAAAAGCCAATTTGCACTTGCAACATAGACACCTTACGCCCAAGCTGTCCGTGCTGCACAGACGCGCAAGAAACAGACTCCAGCTCCAGCTACAAACAAAGCAAACACAGCACCAAGCAAAACCATTAAAAAATGCGGACTGCACATTTTCTGTGTCCTGGTGGCTTAACCATCTTGACTAGGCGCGGTCTTCGTCGGTCTAATATTGAGCATCCGCGAGTTCCCACGCCCAGAGACGAGATGAAGTGTTGGGAAAAACGCATGTGAACAACCAAAACATCTTAGCATTGATTTTTGCAGGGAATTCGAACTCTGGGTTCGAACTTCTGGAAGGGTTTGAGGGGCGGGAACGTATAACTCGAACCTAGGTTCGAACTCTTGGAACTAAGGTTCAAAAGTCAACATTGGAACCCTAGGTTGAACCAGCCTTCGAACATTGGAACCCAGATTAATCCAGGCTTCGAAAAAATACTAAATTACAAGCCGGGTCTTTTTCCGAATACAAATCTCAAGCCTCCCCAAATACTGAACTTGATTTTTTGCCTCAAGTGCAAAGCACTCTCCCGCTATGTTTGTAGCCTCCAAGAAAAAATTGTGCACTATAGAACAACAAATTTTCAGAAAACATACAAAAACAAATTAGAGACAAACACACAGCATTCCACCGACGGATATGGACAATTTTGCATTCCACACTTCTAAGGCGCAGACGACTTCCAACTGCGGAAAAAGCTTGCTTGCAAGGGCTTGAAGTAAGTGAGCAAGTAAGTACTTACGGCGCGACCTACCTTCCACGTCCCTCTCAAAAAATTCCTTAAATTTCAAAACCGTAGACATATCTTTCAAAGAATTCTGCTTGGCTCCACAATGTTCTTGAGCGTGCAGCAGATTTTCTAGATTGTTTGCTTCTTCGTTGTCAAGCCACTGAAAGTTGAGTTTTTGCCCAAATCTTGCAGCATGTCAACCGTCCAAGCTTGTCCGGTTAACCGCAACACACCGCTTAGATCTCCAAACTGCACCTCCAGCTTTCGAAAGAAGTGGGGATACACAGAAGAGCTCTTTTGCGGCTTTCGTGCAGCCAGTTCTTTGCAAGCCGCCAAAATTAAGTTCCTAGCTTGTGGCACAGGATCCGTCAGAGTGCCCCTGGTCGCACAGTTCGACGTGGCAGGCAGGGCTTCGTCAAGCTCATTTCTGAGACTTGGGAGTTGGGTTGAAAAAACAGCTTTGCTGCGCGTGATGCCCAATTCCAAAGCTGGATGCCGGTGCGCATCGAAGGGCCATCTGCGCAGAGGGTCAGACGGACAACATGAGGGCTGCAAGTTTGTTCATGCTTTCAGGCGAAAACCAATGAATCCAGAAGTTAAAAAACTAAATCCTGATTTAATTGTTGCCTTTGGGTTGGGTTTTGACCTCGACATACCTTTTTCCCTCCAGAAACGCAATTACATCCAGATTTAATTGTGTTCCTGTGTGTTTGACTGGCAGACAATTCAATCTTGAGAAAATGGGACAGCAGAGACTTCTGCTAATTGGTTCTTATTCGCACCATTAAATCATGATTTAATTGTATTTGCACCAACTATTATTGCTACTATTAGTAATTCTTATTATTACTATTACTATTATTCTTACTCTTATTATTATTATTATTATTATTATTATTATTATTTTTTTCTTATTCTTATTATTATTATTACTACTATTATTGTTACTATTACTCTCATTATGACTATTTTTATTACCATTACTATTATGATTATTCTTCTTCTTAATATTATTGTTATTATTACTATTATTATTATGATTATTACTATTATTATTCTTAGTATTATCATTATTATTATTATTCTTAGTACTATTATTATTATTCTTCTTCTTAGTGCTAGTATTATCATTACTAGAATAAAAATAATTCTTATTATAATAACTATTATTACTATTATTATTACTATTATTATTATTATTACTACTATTCTTAGTACTATTATTAGCATTATTACTATCCATGCCATCAACATTCCGGTGTAGGTATATTTAGTTATCTGGTTGTCCCTAATTTCATGGGTGTCCTACTGGTTAAGGTGGTTCCCCATCCGACGACCCGTATTCAGGCTTGGTCATTGGTTCATGTCCATTAAATCTTGATTTAATTCTGCTGCGGGTTGGGGTCGTCTAGCAGAAACAATTAAATCCTGATTTAATTGTTTTCCTTGAGCAGCTTGCTAGCATGGCATGCTACGTCGCGCGACGATAACAGGCCAATTAAATCGAGCGTTAATTGTGCTGGACCCAAGGGGCGTCGAGCCTGCCGGATGCCGGTCAATTAACTTCAGAGTTAATTTTCCTTAACTCTTGGATTCACTGTCTTCCCTCCAAGCTTTCCACACCCATTTGCCGAGCCCATCTTGTAAATGGTTCGCTTCGTACTTATCCTACACAGGCCCAGCCGCCGTATGCGAATATTTTGAGATAGCACTTGCTGGAGGTCTCGATGTTGGGGTTGTCATGCTTTGGCAAGAATTCCAGGCAGACTGTTTGGTAGATGATCGATCGGTAGATGCGGGTTGGACCTTCGCGCTGATCACGCAAATGCGAGTTTTTCGTTTGTGCAAGCACGCTTAGTCGTGGTTTGTGCACACTCAGCTCGCAAGGGCGCACCCTCATAGTCGGGTTCTGTTCTTTCTAAGTTCTCTATCCTGCAAGCAACGTCCCATCAGATATCTTTGCTGTTGAAAATGGGTGGGTCTCCAGGATCTCCAGAGCTTGAAGGCCGCGTTGGCCGCCTCCCCGGTTTCATGCTTGAGCTTGCTGTCAGTCATGTGTCACTGTGTTATTTTGAACATGAGGAGCTTTCCGTCTATAGCATCTACACATACATATATATATATATGGAATCCCCCTCCACATTGACTCTCTCAATGGGGGTGTGTATCCTCCTTGTAACGTTATATGACCGCAGGGTTCCCCCCTGCATTTATATGCGGAGCAGCCTGCCCTCCCCTCCCCCATGTCATAGAGGGAAATTTGCCCTTTTCTGGAGATTACCCCCCCTCCCCCCCCCTTTCCTCCCCACCATTTTATAGAGAGGCCCCCAAATGCCCCAATTTTAGCTGAAGAGGATCTCAGTGGCCGCCGCCGCGCGAGTGCAAGGCGCGCCCTTGGGCTTGCTGTGGATTCTGTGGCAGTGGTTTGCAAGCCAACGTGCTGAGTTCATGTGCGAAAGTGCGGAGATTTGAACTCGTGATCCACACTTCGCGGCCTTGTCTTCCCAGCCCCGAGTGATAGAAGTGTCAGTTCTCGTCTCCCTTCCGGCACTCTCGTCTCCCTTCCTGCAATGATCCAACATCGGTGCTCAGTGCTGTCCTTGTTGGTGGCCGCGGCCCTTCTGCCCGGTGCAGCGGGACAAGGTGGCGGAGGTGGTGGAGGAGGCGGAGGCGGCGGAGGCGGCGGAGGAGGCGGAGGCGGCGCAGGCGGCGGAGGCGGCGGAGCAGGTGGAGGCGGCGGCGGGATTGCGTTGACGGAGCCACACATCACCATCAATTCCGAGGTAGAGTGCAGGACGAACGTGACCGGCCCGCAGACCATCACCGGGTACATTTACTGCGACAATTACTTCGAGTTTTGGTTCAATGGAGTTCTCGTGAAGAAGGACCCGATGACGTTCACGCCGCACAACGCGGTTGCCGTGTCGTTCGAATGGGACGGCGTTTCTGACAAGGAATACGCGATCATGTGTATGGACTACGCTAGCAGCTCCGGGTACGAGTATGTCGAGACCTCGAATCCAGGACTTGGTGACGGGGCGCTCATGGCGGAGTTTTCGGATGGCACCGTTACCGGCGCTGCCTGGGATGTCTTCGTGCTGACACACGGGCCTACTGACGCGTCCATTTCGGCAGGCTGCAGCAGCAGCAATCTGGCACCATGTGCGGTCACTTCGTTGGCAGAGCCTGCGGGATGGATGGCTGGTGGCTACAAGGCCAGCGGTGGCTGGGTGTCAGCGACTGAATACACCGCCCAGCAGACGGGTTGGGGGAGGACCCCGACTTGGGATGCTACCAGGACTTGCTGTGGTACGGCCACAAGCCCGGCAACTCAGGAAACGCTGACCAACAATGGCGGATGCTCCGTCAATTACGACAGCACCGAGCCGGCCGGGGTTTCTGTGACAGTAAGGGAAGATGAGTGCCTGGATCCGATCGCCTTCTTGTCAGAGACGAGGTCGACGATGATCTGGTCTTCCGACTTGGAGCGGGACAACAAGCTCCTGTTCCGCATCACCGTTCCTGCCAATGCGTCGACGGTGGTGCAATGCCCTACGTGCAGTGCACCAATGGTCGCTCAAAACACACAACGAGTGCGCAAGGAGTTGCGGACGCTGAGCGCAGCAGACTGGAAGAAGGTGGCAGACGCCATGTGGATCATGAAGAACACGACGCAGGCGACCGGTGTGGGAAAGTATGGCCAGGCGTTCCGTACATATGACTACTTCCCGGCCAAACACGCCGCGGCGTATTCCGATGTGCGTGGCGACCAGGCTCACTTCGGCCCTCAGTTCATGACTTGGCACAGCGCCTTCGTCTTGGAGTTCGAGAATGCGCTGCTTAGTGTGGACAGCACGATTGGCGCATTGCCATACTGGGACTCAACAGTGACCTCTCCGTCCATCTTCTCGGAGACCTACTTCGGAAGTGCTCCTGGCACGGGGTCCGACTCTCAAGTTGTCGACGGTGCCTTTGCGAACTGGTTGGTCGATGCTAGCTTTTCCTTGTCAGATTACACTTCCACCGGCACTTCTCCATACACCGGCTCGCCCATCGGAATGCTGCGGGGGCCCACCAACAACAACGCGAATAGCATGATGACACGCTTCGGCTCGAGCACGTACTCGTACCCAGCCAACGACTTCTGGATCTGCGCGAACTTGGATGGGTTTTGGTATGACTGGTACAAGTGCGTCGAGGGGGATGCGACTGTCAGTGGGAGCTTTCACGGAGGACCACATGGGCAGGCACGGGTAGGACGCTCGCTCTCAGGGTTTCCACGGTGTAGCTCCCCAGCCCCTCAGCAGTACTCAGTAGCGGCATGTAGCGGCTTCTTCTAGACCCCAAGCGCAGCGATCTGGGAACCCTCCAGGTGGGCGGCAGCTCGGGTGGCAACAGCGGCGACTTCGAGGACCCGGTCACGTCGCCGAATGACCCCCTCTTCATGTTCCACCATGCGAATGTGGACCGCAGCATGCGTTGGTGGATGCTGAAGAATGAAGCCAAGCGCAGCACCTTCTACGGCTTTCCTGCAGCCAACGCCGAAGGCATTCGCGAGAATGCTGGGAAGAGCTACTATGGCCAGAACCTCCCTGACATGATGTCGAGCACGTGGGGCTTCACCGCCGCCGACCTTGGCTTCTCCAGTGCTTCCACTGGCTTCCAGACCAATGCGGATCTGCTTTGCCACAATGGTCCCTCCACAAGTGCATACACCTATGACACGGAGGTGGCCTGCTCCGGAGGCAGCGCAGCCTGCTCGGCAGTTTGGGGTGCTACAGGTGCTACCACGACGACACAGGCCGGGACGACAGCCGAGACCACACAGGCCGGGACGACAGCCGAGACGACAAATGGCGGGACGACAGACGAGACGACAAAGGCCGTTAGCAGCACGGGCTACACACGGCACACAGCCACGGTCTTGATGTCAAGCCTCCTTGCGGCCGCCAACTTATGAGTCACTCAAGTATTGAATCACTCAATTTACTAATTAAGCACTCGTCAAGAGGTTTTGCAAGTCGGCGAGGGTGCAGAGACGCTGCAAAACGGCATGCGTTTCCCCTCCCCGGCTTTTCACGCCTGTGTTCAGGCGCACAACGAAGTTGCGTCACCCGCCGAAGCCTTTTGGACATGATTTTCCCGAAGCCAGGCCTGGTTAATCCACCCACATCCAGTCCTGGCAGGGCCGGGCCCCTCGTGTTTAAAGAAAGGGGCCACTCGTGTCCACGTGCCGGCGAATCTCCTTGATGTGCAAGAATCCTGCGAACAATGCCTGCCAACCAGCTTGGTTTCCTGTCGTTTCATTGACTGCGGCAGCTGCGCAAAAGTGAAGATAGTGGTGCTCCTCTCAGCTTCCGAGGCCCTCCTGCTCCGCAGGGCCATGTAGCCCTGCAGCCATCCCAAGACAGCAGTAGGTGGCGGGCCGGCGGATGGGTTAGGGAACGGTTCGCACACCTGAACCAGGACCCATCCGGCAAGGAGGTCGGAAGCCTGAACCCCGAGTATAACAGGCGACTTGACGGCAGGGATTGTGCCGGTTCATCCCCCTGAGCTCCACAAATTGCAGCCAGAATCTAGTCGCAGTACCTTACTGGGAGGCCCATGCATACAGCGGGTGAGCTCCTGCTCCGTACCTCGCCTGAAGTTTTCTGTTTTCGCTCCTGCTTGCAGACGGAGTAGTCTGAGTGCTGCGCCTGAAGCTTGCAGTTTAGTCTCCATCAATCTGTTGCAGTATCTTGCGAATGCACGGTTTTACGTAATGCATGAACGAAGCGGGCTAGTGATGAAAATGCCCAAAAGATTACAGTCTTGTAGGGGCCTTTTCGTCGACCATACACTTTATTCATGCGTGCTCTCATTTACTTCGTATGAGTGAGCCTGCGAACGCCCCTTTAATATCAATAGATAAAAGACTAGAAAGATATATACATATATATATATATAGCCAAAAGCTTTTCAAGAAAATGCCAAAAAATGTAGACTATAAAGTTTATGAATTTCCAATATTCTAACGTTTAGAAAGGTGTGCAAAAAGGGCCTCATAAGTTGCAGAAGTTTCCTGCCCTTTTCATACGTTTATTCACTTGTTCAGTCACTTTACATATTCATTCACCTGTTATCTTCACTGCGCGTGCCCCAAGGTGGATGACATGCTGGAGTGTCCCGTGACATCCCGGCAGGCCACGACGAGTCCTCGGGCAGGGAGCTTTGTGCGTTTTCTTTGCCCAACGCAAGGTGCGCATTGCACAGTGAGAGATGCTGGCCCCCTGGAAAGGCTAGGAGGCGTGTTCTGCAACCTAAGGCCGTGATCAAGCACCTGGAGGAAATGGGTGGGTTGGATAGGCACGGGTGCAGCTGGCTGCACGGCGACATGCATGGGAGTTATGCGCCATGGCCGTTGCTTCGCAGGTCGAAGTCGATTCTCGATTGTTCTGCAAGATTGAGCTCTGCCCTCTGAGACCCTGAAGCCTTCGGTGCGCATAGCTGCGGAAGTGATGCCGAGAGGAAGTACTATGAGTGCCTCTCGACCTGATGTTTCTTAGCATGCTCCCAAGACGGGATTCGATCCCAGGTCGGTGGTGGTGCGTGAGGCTGGCAAGTGCCAGAAAGACTTGTTTTCAGAAAGTCATGCCCGCCGCACGTCATTGCAAACCTTCGAGACCTGCTTGAGCGCAGCCGCGACGTGGATGCACCTGCGAGGAATTCTGCGCACCATATTGTTGTCAATTATGGGCGAGGTGGTCTGCCTTGCCTGCCTTGCGGAAGCCGTGCTTTGTCGGATGGAGCCAGAATCCACCGAAATCAGCCAAGAGGTGGGGAGAAAGGTATCGACGGTATCGATGTGCTCAGCCCATCTTGAAAAATGTTGTGCGTGCACTCGAGAAGCCTCAGCATCAGAGGTGGGTGTGCCTTCTGGTCAGAGTCCTACGTTGCCCGCAATGCTCTTTTGCCAAAGATATTGATTAGTGACCTGAAGCTCCTTTGGCGAGCTGATGACGATCCCAGACGAAGCTACGCAGAGGCAGATCAGCAACGAAGTCTGCCAGCCAAGACCTGCGGCGAGAATTTTCGGTTCTTCTCTCCTGCTGCAGTCTAGAACAGTGGCGAGCTCCAAGCACATGATCTGTGGCATTGGGGCATCCCAACTCATGCAGTGCTCTGCTGAAAGATGCTGAAGTTTGCATACTCACGCTAACCAACATGTGGTTGGGCCCACAGAGATATTTGGTAGTCTGTGGCCCCGGACAACAGTCCACCATGGCAGTGCCCTGTCCCGCCTTTCCCGGCTATTTTGCTCACCCTGACCCACAAGTCTCAGCTAGTTTTAGACGTTGCACAGCGCCCGCTTCGGCCCGCAAAGGCTTCTAACGTTTAGGTTTTAGGGTCGGTCCACACAAGCATGTAGAGATTCAAAAGATTTTTTTGAAGGTCCATCTGATCTCATCCCTGCAGGGTCCATAGTCAGCTTCTTTAACCATTAGAATTGCATTTATTAATATGATTTCTTCATTGATTTTTACAAACACGTTGTCGAACTTTATCAAATGGAACATTACCTGTTGTTCCTTCTGGTCCAAATGCAGATAGCAATGACGTCAAGAAAAGTAATGCCCAAACAACACTCCGTGATAATATATTAGCAACTCAGGGGGTGGGGGCCGTTATTCGACAGCATTGCTCAGTGTACGGCGCCGAATGCAACCTTACGCTGGCTCGAGTTTGCCGGGCTTGGGCCCCCTCTTGTTGGACCTTTCTGGTTGCCAGCCTGGATCTTACTTGTTCGGCAGCATTCCGAATCGGACGTGTCATCTGTGGGTCACTGCTGATGTTCGTGCGGACCCATACAAGCACCCTTCTCCAAGGTCTGTGTTCTGGATTCCCCCAAACGCCCTTCCAACATGTCAGCCACTTCTGAGCAGGCGCTCCGCTCATGGCCGGGGCGCGCCGCTACCAGGCCCCTCGGGAATAGGAAGTTTGGGGTTTAGGCGTTTAGGGTCTAAGAGGTTTTGTGAGGTGTAGACGGAGTCTTGCATCCTTTTTCAACGTGCATTGTAGGGACTTACGAGTGCTTCCGAGTCAAGTTTTGGGCGGCGTTCGCTGGAAAGCCTTGTGTTGCTTCTTGTACCCGCTGCTTGTTACACCTAAACATAAAGAGCATAGACCTCAACCCTAATTTCATAGCCGTAGTCCCTCAGGGTCGATGGAAAGGTCTGCTGATTCAATGAATCGGAATGCGCGCCTTGACAGCAAGAAGATGCATCTGCCATGGCATTCACCATGGCATCCACCACGTGCAGCCGCAGTGGCCAGCTACGCAGCTAAGGAACTACAACATTCGTGAAAGAATGGCCAACAGATTCGAGGCCGAGTGCTGTTGTAGTGATGCTGTCGTGAGAATGAGAAGCTTATTGTGACCGGTTTCGCCAAGGCGGCTACTGTCTGTGTTTGCAGAAGCCCTGAAAGTTCTGCCCGCGCTTCTCTTCAAGAGCTCAAGCATTTCTGTGTAGAAAGGCCCGGGGGCTCTGCGGCTGCAGGCCGTGCCTGCTTGTGTGGGGCCTCGTGGTGCCGAGCATAGCCAGAGCCCATGTTCTCCACTTCTGTGCTGGAGTGCCACAAGTCGCTGGACCAAACGATGGTGAAGAGCCTCGGTGTGCTGAGTGAGAACCGGCTCTCGGAGAACGCCCAGAACACTCCAAGCAAAATGTGCAAGCGACCCAGCTGGCCACAGGCCCCAGGGCTTTTTGCTTCGGACAAGGAGAATCGGCCAGCGCAGGATCCGGAGGCAAAGGTCAACAAGAGTGCCTGGTGGCAGCAGCAGTGCGACGCCGATGCCCTGAAGCAGCAGCAAGCCCAGCAGCGCTTGCGCGCTGGCGCCGAGGAGCAGCTGCAGCGGCTGCGCAGCGCCCGGCGCTCCGAGGGCGCTGGCGAGGACCCGTCGGAGCTCCGGCGCCGCTGCCGGGAGCTGGAGCTGGAGCGCGACGCCTTGTCGCTGCGTGCGCAGGCGGCGCTGCGCTTGGAGGCGGAGCTGGAGGCCGAGAAGGCGCCGAGGGACCGCAGGTGGTTGTTTCAGATGCTCCCCGCCCCTATGCATGTCTTTTCGGACCGCTTGCGAAGGCCTTCAACCCCTCCCTTTTCTCCACTTCCCCAAGAAGAGGCGCGGGCCGCGCACCTGGCGCAGCAGCTCCGCGGCTCCGAGGCGGCTGCGCGGCGGGCGGGCGCCGGCCTCGGGAGAGGTCTTTGTTGGGCCTAACGGTATAGGGGGACGGAGGACGTGACTCAAGTGCTGCAGGATGCTTCAAAGACTCTTCAAAGCATGCTTCCAGGTTTTTGAAGGCTTAGACGAGCTTGGAAGGTTGCAGAGGAGAGAAGGTGCTGGGAGGCCCGAGTTGACTCTGGGTTAGGCGCTGGGCACGGTGACCCGACGACCTGCGCTGTAATCTTGCTGTGCTTGCCTCCTTTTCTGTGGGGGTTTCAGGCTTTCTGGGTTTGTGGCTGACTTTGGCCTCGAAGGCATCGACTGTGACCGAGGCCTTCATGAACTCTGCGAGCAGGTGAAGAATCTCAACCGCCAGGCAGACCTCCACGAGGACACGTTCTAACTTCTGACTTGCAGATAGCGTCCCGTCCGAGCACGTCGTTTGAACAGTTGAACTTGGCCCAGCTCCGCACAGATGATACGTACTGCAGCATACATCTGCATACTTCGCAGGAACAGCTTGCCGCCATCAGCAATCGGAGGCCTACGCCGGGCTGGGAGTGAGAATGGAGTGGTTTTTTTGTTTTTGTCACCGCAGGCTTTTCAGCCCCCTTTCCGGTTTCTAGACACCAGCAGTTATTGCAGCCACGGCGGGTGGAGAAGATGTGGGAAGACGGGTCCCTGCCAAGGATGGCTTCCACTTTAGTCCGCTCCGTCGTCTCGCGCGTGTTGGCGCGGCAGAGCCCGGATCTGCAGAAGCCCGACAGGGTGTGCGATGGGGTGAGGATGGTGAGGAGTGAGGACAGCTTGAAGCTGAGACATGTTGAGACACGTTGAGACTGGAGAGCTCGGGGGTTGACAGGGTGCAAGCAAGCCGCGCATGGGACCAGCATGCGGCCCATGATATGCTTGGCAGGATGTGGCGGTGCAGGCCGAGCTGCGCACGGAGGCTTCCCCGGAATCCGAGGCCGCCCAGAAGACCAAAACCGCTGCAACCTCTGACTAAGTTCCACTGCTTGCCCGTCACAGAGCCGCTAAACCCCTAAGCCCCCGCACATACTTGTCGGGTGCGTCCCAAGAATGAGATGCATGCCGCGAACCCTGCAATCTCAATATCCAAACCTACCCGCATGAAACCAAAACCCCGGCCCAAAGCTCCAGGCATCTTCACAACGCTTGAGCCCTCACAACCCCATAAGCCTCAAAGCTTAAATTCAAGCCCGATAGACAGCAACCCTCCATCCCTCACAAAACCCCTAGGGAAGTCCAGAGAAGCTTCAACCCTCAACCTGAACCCTAAAACCCTAAACCCTAAACCCTAAACCCTAAACCCTAAACCCTAAACCCTAAACCCTAAACCCAAAACCCTAAACCCTGAACCCTAAACCCCACAAAAGCCCTTCCGGCCCCTTTGGGCCCAGGAGCTCCGCCTGCTCCGCGCGGAGCTCTCGGAGGCCCGGGCGGCCGCCGAGGTCCGGCGCAGCTGCGGCCGGGAGGCGCTTCCAAGTTTAGGGTTTAGGGTTTAGGGTTTAGGGTTTAGGGTTCAGGGTTTAGGGTTGAGGGTTGAGGGTTTAGGGTTCAGGGTTCAGGGTTTAGGGTGTAAGGGTTTACGGTTTAGGGTTAGTGGCGCCAGGTCCGCGAGGGTCTCCAGAAGGATTGCGAACGCTGGCGACGCCATGCTGAGGCAAGACCTTTCGGGCTTTCGCGGGGGTGCCCTAGCTGATGTTTCGGGATCCGGGCAGGAATGCCATTCCGGGATTCCTGATGTTGTCCCGCGTAGTCCCCTTCCCTGACAGTCCATCTCGTCCAAAATGGAGAACCCTGAACGCCAAATCCGATCTCGAGCCTTCTCTGCAGGGTCTGGAGAAGCAGGTGGACCAGCTCGGCCGCAGCATGCAAGGCTCAGATCCAGGGGAGACGTAGGAGGGTTCAGGGATGCATAGGGCGTTCGGGTTTTTGCAGGTCTTTTGCGCGCTGAAAGGCTGACAAGGGACAAAGGAGAATCTTCCAAGTGTCAGGCGACTGGTGCAACAGCTAAACCGGAACGACTAAGACTACATGACTCCACCAAAGATGCGGTCTGCATGACAAGGTTGCGAGACCTGCGCCATGTTGCTGGCAGAGAGCCAGGAGTCAAGCCGGCAGGGATCCTTTTTGCAACCTTTATTTATATGTGATACTCTAACTTATGGTCCCTGTTGAAGGATCCAGTATGATCTGGACCCTACGCGATCCTTCCCTTCCAGTGGTGCTCGATCCTTTGCTTCGCCAATTCCTCAGTCCTGGCCACTGTGTTGCACGAATCCCTGGAGCCTGCGCGGTGTCCGGGCAAGGTGTTGACCCAGTGGTCCTCGATCCTTTCCTTCGCCAATTCCCTCAGTCCTGGCCACTGTGTTGCACGAATCCCTGGAGCCTGCGCGGTGTCCGGGCAAGGTGTTGACCCAGTGGTCCTCGATCCTTTCCTTCGCCAATTCCCTCAGTCCTGGCCACTGTGTTGCACGAATCCCTGGAGCCTGCGCGGTGTCCGGGCAAGGTGTTGACCCAGTGGTCCTCGATCCTTTCCTTCGCTAATTCCCTCAGTCCTGGCCACTGCGTTGCACGAATCCCTGGAGCCTGCGCGGTGTCCGGGCAAGGTGTTGACCCAGTGGTCCTCGATCCTTTCCTTCGCCAATTCCCTCAGTCCTGGCCACTGTGTTGCACGAATCCCTGGAGCCTGCGCGGTGTCCGGGCAAGGTGTTGACCCAGTGGTCCTCGGTCCTTTCCTTCGCCAAGTCCCTCAGTCCTGGCCACTGTGTTGCACGAATCCCTGGAGCCTGCGCGGTGTCCGGGCAAGGTGTTGACCCAGTGGTCCTCGATCCTTTCCTTCGCCAATTCCCTCAGTCCTGGCCACTGTGTTGCACGAATCCCTGGAGCCTGCGCGGTGTCCGGGCAAGGTGTTGACTTAGTGGTCCTCGATCCATCTCGATCCTTTGCTTCGCCAATTCCCTCAGTCCTGGCCACTGTGTTGCACGAATCCCTGGAGCCTGCGCGGTGTCCGGGCAAGGTGTTGACCCAGTGGTCCTCGATCCTTTCCTTCGCCAATTCCCTCAGTCCTGGCCATTGTTGTGGAGCCTGCGCGGTGTCCGGGCACGTGGTCCTCGATCCTTTCCTTCGCCAATTCCCTCAGTCCTGACTGTGTTGCACGAATCCCTGGAGCCTGCGCGGTGTCCGGGCAAGGTGTTGACTTAGTGGTCCTCGATCCTTCCTCTTTTCCCTCCAGTCCTCAACTGAGTGTGGGATCCTGGAGCAACAAGGAAGGACCCCCGTGGTCCTCGATCCTTTCCTTCGCCAATTCCCTCAGTCCTGGCCACTGTGTTGCACGAATCCCTGGAGCCTGCGCGGTGTCCGGGCAAGGTGTTGACTTAGTGGTCCTCGATCCATCTCGATCCTTTGCTTCGCCAATTCCCTCAGTCCTGGCCACTGTGTTGCACGAATCCCTGGAGCCTGCGCGGTGTCCGGGCAAGGTGTTGACCCAGTGGTCCTCGATCCTTTCCTTCGCCAATTCCCTCAGTCCTGGCCATTGCGTTGCACGAAACCCTGGAGCCTGCGCGGTGTCCGGGCAAGGTGTTGACCCAGTGGTCCTCGATCCTTTCCTTCGCCAATTCCCTCAGTCCTGGCCACTGTGTTGCACGAATCCCTGGAGCCTGCGCGGTGTCCGGGCAAGGTGTTGACTTAGTGGTCCTCGATCCATCTCGATCCTTTGCTTCGCCAATTCCCTCAGTCCTGGCCACTGTGTTGCACGAATCCCTGGAGCCTGCGCGGTGTCCGGGCAAGGTGTTGACCCAGTGGTCCTCGATCCTTTCCTTCGCCAATTCCCTCAGTCCTGGCCATTGCGTTGCACGAAACCCTGGAGCCTGCGCGGTGTCCGGGCAAGGTGTTGACCCAGTGGTCCTCGATCCTTTCCTTCGCCAATTCCCTCAGTCCTGGCCACTGTGTTGCACGAATCCCTGGAGCCTGCGCGGTGTCCGGGCAAGGTGTTGACTTAGTGGTCCTCGATCCATCTCGATCCTTTGCTTCGCCAATTCCCTCAGTCCTGGCCACTGTGTTGCACGAATCCCTGGAGCCTGCGCGGTGTCCGGGCAAGGTGTTGACCCAGTGGTCCTCGATCCTTTCCTTCGCCAATTCCCTCAGTCCTGGCCATTGCGTTGCACGAAACCCTGGAGCCTGCGCGGTGTCCGGGCAAGGTGTTGACCCAGTGGTCCTCGATCCTTTCCTTCGCCAATTCCCTCAGTCCTGGCCACTGTGTTGCACGAATCCCTGGAGCCTGCGCGGTGTCCGGGCAAGGTGTTGACCCAGTGGTCCTCGATCCTTTCCTTCGCTAATTCCCTCAGTCCTGGCCACTGCGTTGCACGAATCCCTGGAGCCTGCGCGGTGTCCGGGCAAGGTGTTGACCCAGTGGTCCTCGATCCTTTCCTTCGCCAATTCCCTCAGTCCTGGCCACTGTGTTGCACGAATCCCTGGAGCCTGCGCGGTGTCCGGGCAAGGTGTTGACCCAGTGGTCCTCGGTCCTTTCCTTCGCCAAGTCCCTCAGTCCTGGCCACTGTGTTGCACGAATCCCTGGAGCCTGCGCGGTGTCCGGGCAAGGTGTTGACCCAGTGGTCCTCGATCCTTTCCTTCGCCAATTCCCTCAGTCCTGGCCACTGTGTTGCACGAATCCCTGGAGCCTGCGCGGTGTCCGGGCAAGGTGTTGACTTAGTGGTCCTCGATCCATCTCGATCCTTTGCTTCGCCAATTCCCTCAGTCCTGGCCACTGTGTTGCACGAATCCCTGGAGCCTGCGCGGTGTCCGGGCAAGGTGTTGACCCAGTGGTCCTCGATCCTTTCCTTCGCCAATTCCCTCAGTCCTGGCCATTGCGTTGCACGAAACCCTGGAGCCTGCGCGGTGTCCGGGCAAGGTGTTGACCCAGTGGTCCTCGATCCTTTCCTTCGCCAATTCCCTCAGTCCTGGCCACTGTGTTGCACGAATCCCTGGAGCCTGCGCGGTGTCCGGGCAAGGTGTTGACCCAGTGGTCCTCGATCCTTTCCTTCGCTAATTCCCTCAGTCCTGGCCACTGTGTGCACGAATCCCTGGAGCCTGCGCGGTGTCCGGGCAAGGTGTTGACCCAGTGGTCCTCGATCCTTTCATTCGCCAATTCCCTCAGTCCTGGCCATTGTGTTGCACGAAACCCTGGAGCCTGCGCGGTGTCCGGGCAAGGTGTTGACCCAGTGGTCCTCGATCCTTTCCTTCGCCAATTCCCTCAGTCCTGGCCACTGCGTTGCACGAATCCCTGGAGCCTGCGCGGTGTCCGGGCAAGGTGTTGACCCAGTGGTCCTCGATCCTTTCCTTCGCCAATTCCCTGGGTCCTGGCCATTGTGTTGCACGAAACCCTGGAGCCTGCGCGGTGTCCGGGCAAGGTGTTGACCCAGTGGTCCTCGATCCTTTCCTTCGCCAATTCCCTCAGTCCTGGCCATTGTGTTGCACGAAACCCTGGAGCCTGCGCGGTGTCCGGGCAAGGTGTTGACTTACTGGTCCTCGATCCTTTCCTTCGCCAATTCCCTCAGTCCTGGCCATTGTGTTGCACGAAACCCTGGAGCCTCCGCGGTGTCCGGGCAAGGTGTTGACCCAGTGGTCCTCGATCCATCTCGATCCTTTGCTTCGCCAATTCCCTCAGTCCTGGCCATTGTGTTGCACGAAACCCCGGAGCCTGCGCGGTGTCCGGGCAAGGTGTTGACCCAGTGGTCCTCGATCCTTTCCTTCGCCAATGCCCTCAGTCCTGGCCATTGTGTTGCACGAAACCCTGGAGCCTGCGCGGTGTCCGGGCAAGGTGTTGACTTAGTGGTCCTCGATCCATCTCGATCCTTTCCTTCGCCAATTCCCTCAGTCCTGGCCATTGCGTTGCACGAAACCCTGGAGCCTGCGCGGTGTTCGGGCAAGGTGTTGACCCAGTGGTCCTCGATCCTTTCCTTCGCCAATTCCCTCAGTCCTGGCCACTGTGTTGCACGAATCCCTGGAGCCTGCGCGGTGTCCGGGCAAGGTGTTGACTTAGCGGTCCTCGATCGTTTGCTTCGCCAATTCTGTCAGCCCTGGCCATTGTGTTGCTGAAAAGCTGGAAGTGGGCGGCGAATATTCAAGGCTGTGAGACGGGGGGGGGGGGTCTGCTTCGACTCACCGCCCCCATGAGCTCAAGAGGAGCTGGCGCTCACCGTCACCACCCTGAAGAACCAGTGTGAGGCCCTGGAGGCTCGGAGGACAGGAATTGTGTGATTGCTTGCATTTGTGCGGTTTACCTCCAGGGCGTGATTTCAGGGGGGACCGCCGACGCACGTTTCAACACATACGCTTGACTGTGGGTGAAGCTGAGTTGAAGTGTGCTCAAGGTGGGATTTAGAATGCGCTCGCGCTTCAGGATTCAATGGCCCCAAATACACCTCAAGCACAGGTGGAGAGGAAAAGCCTGACAAGCAGGGTGACCTCCCTCCAGGACCCGGTGCAGCGTTTGCATGCAGATGTGGCTGCGGCTTTGGCCCTTCCAACAACAACTGTACCCGAATGGCCACTACAGCATCAACATTAGTGCGCTGATTCAATGTATGTATGTGTTTGTGTCTGTATGTATGTCTGTCATGCATGCATGCAAGCATGTATGTATGTATGTACGTGCATATGTATATGTATGTCTTCTGTGTGTACATTTTGGAAGCTGTCCGGTTCCTGCTGCCTTCTGTCAACAGCTGTCCCGAAACCCCAAGCCACTCTGCTGTCAGAAACCGTCCGGTTTCTCTTGTTGCTGCTTTCTGTCGCCAGGCCCCGAAGCCCTAAACCGTTCTGCTGTCAGAAGCTGTCCGGTTTCTCTGGTTGCTGCTTTCTGTCACCTGCTGTCCCTAAACCCTAAACCATTCGCCGTCAGAAGCTGTCCGGTTTCCCTTATTGCTGCTTTCTGCTTTCTGTCACCAGCTGTCCCTAAACCCTCAACCGTTCTGCTATCAGAAGCTGTCCGGTTTCTCTTGTTGCTGCTTTCTACCCGCTGTCCCTAAAAGCAGAATCCTTGGTTTGCGAATAAAGACGAGACTTCAATCCAATCTTCCATCACGAAGTTTATGTTTTTGCAGCTCTCCGAGGCACGCTGTCTCTACTCTTTGGATATGCTGGACCGAAGGAACCAAAGGAAGTATGCTTCTTGAACGCATGTCCTTCTGGGCAGCTCGATCGAATCATTATTTGTTTGTGAGTGCTGCTCGGAACTCATTTCCTCCGGAAATACAACACAATTCAGAATAGCTACCCACATCGTTTATAGATGTGCACGCCCTGCAGATACGAGAACACAGTGTGAGCAGAACAAATTTCAGCTGGTACCCAGAAGACGAAAGGCACACCGATGATCGGGTGCAGAAGGTTTGCGAAGAAGTTGATGCCTGATGTCTCCAGCGATATCTTGTGCACTTATATTCCATTCATTCATCTTCCAAAGTCAGCACAAGCCCCAAGTCTCGGGCCGAGATGCTGGTTTTGAAGCTATTTGCTAACTCTCCTTCAGCTGGCGTGGAAAGTCTCTGCATCATGGATAAACATGATGATTCGTCATGAATACTTGCATAAATGAACAAAATAGTTACTGAGTACATGGGCAGACGAATGCATGAACAAATGAACACACGATTAAGTGAATAATTAAATAAAGCGAAGAGTGAATGGATGCGGTAAGTGAATGAACGAATAAATGAATAAATGAATGAATGAATGAATGAATGAATGAATGACTGATTGATGGAATGCATACATGAATAAATGAGTAGCTTAACAAATGAAGACATGAATAGATCAGATCGCCAAGAAACTAGCAACCTAAGAACGGAGTATATAGATGAACAATTGAATACATGAACAAGATGAATTGGTGGATGCATGGGTCAAACGCTCCAAGCATACACTACAGAGTGAATATTTGGTGCAGAATGAATAAATAATATACATGAACTAATGAATCGATGATTAGGTGGATAGGTTACTACACGAATGCATAAAGAAAGGGAAAGTGAATACGACAAAAGAAGTACATAATATATATGGATAGTTCGATAGGTAGGTCTCAAATTCATGTGTGTAGAGATGTTTGCAGCAATCCTGTCAAACTTACGAGCTTGTATGGTGCTCAGCTTTAAAGGAAACCCTGAGGCTTAAGCCCCAACTGCTTGGTTCAGGAGAATCTGGAGGACGTGTCGTCCTCGCACGCAGAGCTGGCGGGGCATGTGAACCACCGGCAGAAGATCCGGCACACCGTGCAGCTGAAGGAAGACAGGGACAGCTACCGCGAGGAGCATCCCGGCTAGGGGCATCTGTGGACTTAGCATAAGACCCTGCTGCTGCGAGCGAGAGCAGCGCCGTCCGGCGCATTAAGCACGCAAGGCCTCTGGCCGAACAGCACCCGAAAACCAAACAGTCCCAAGCCGAGTCGGCTTGCGACTGAAGCGCCAACTCCAGCAGCCAAGGAACTTCCGGCTGAAGCAGCGCATCCTGCAACTGGAGGCCGGGACTCGGCTTAGGCCCCATCGGGCTCAAGGACGAGGGCTAAGGGTGGTGGCCCCATCGGGCTCAAGGACGAGGGCTAAGGGTGGCCCCTGTGTGTTCACAGCAAAACTTGCAGTGCAGCAGCATTTCAGACCTCCATGCTGAAGATCCTTGAGTTAGGGGGGCCAAATAAACTCCCCCACTGATTGCCGCCCGCCCAAAGTCACGAGCCACAGCTTCCTCAAGGAGGTCCTCAACCCCTAAACCCTGAACCCTGAACCCTAAACCCTAAACCCAGGTTCTTGTGGCCTTCAAAACTCCAAAAAAACTTGGGGGGCTCCGCGGCAATTTGCAGGCTGGGAACAGTAGCCAGGGCATCGTGCAAGCGGTGGCTGGCTTCTCAGGAGCCGCGCCTGGGGGGGGGGGGGGGGGTTTTTCGGAGGGGGTATAAACCCTAAACCCTAAACCCTTCCAAAGAACAGTTGTTAAGGCTGGCTTCCGCGCTCTCCAGCCTCCGTGTGATCACACGTGTTCATGTTGTGTAACACGTGCTTCATGTGTGTAGGGACAAGCTAAGCGGCGATCGCCGTCGTCGCTCAAGCCGCCTATTGTCAGAATGTCAGCCTGGACATTTTCGTCCTCGACGCCGTGTCTTCGTTGATGTCTGCTTCCACGTCGTTGTCCGCGGCGGCGGTCGCCGCCATCATCGAGGCGGCGCTCCCCGAAACTGCGGTCGACGTGTCGGTGACCACGCGTGAACGATGAACAGCCGCCTCGCAGGCCGAACCCCCCCCGCACTCGCGAGGTCGACTCACCGCTCGGCGTGCGGCGGGCAGCAATGGGGTGAACCTGGGCGACGACGAGACACTCGCCACGAACTCTGGTTGGTGGATCTGACGTTGGTCGACCTGCCGGTGCGGAAACAAAGTCCACATGGTGCTCAAGCTGCAATCACAAACGCGTGTCATCGAATCTTGGAACCTCTACAATATTCTTTTCCCACGTGCCCGTGCCTGCTCAGCCCATTCCCAAACTGGCTGGTAGGAGATAATGTCCAATGTGGCTTCCACCATACACGTGCTCGCCGAAAGAGATCAGATGATGACATTCAGTTCTGGGTTCCAGATTTGCTACACCTTGCGCGCACGTTTTCTGGTCTTCGTGTGGCAGTGGCTGTTAGCGAGGAGAACTCCTCGGCTCATGAAGTTCTCAACCAAGTCTTCTTGATCTGAAGCCGGGAATGTCGCTCGGACAGCCTCTGGGTCCAAGAGTGACCGATTCGACCGATGCTCTTGGCATCTCTTGGCAACGTCGCAGTTTGCGGAGAGCTTCCAACTCATGGCTCCGAAGCGGCTGGAAGCGGCATCTGCTCGGTGGCCAGAGCGCCAGGAGGCGAGCGCTCTTCTGGCCCAGTCAGCTTGCTCTCAGCTCAAACGAAAAGGCTCTCAAACCTTTGCTTGGACGAGCTCGGTCAGACTATCGAGCAGGCTCAATATGCAGGCCGTGGTTTATGCAGGCGGTGGTTGGCGAGGGGAAGGGCCTTCGTTGGTGGATGGGCCAGGCAGAGCTTTTCGAGTTGCCGGTGCAGCTCTTTGCTTGTCCGTGTCACTTCGAGTTTGATCTGTCAGACCACGGAGATCTCTGAGAAGGCCTTTCGCAGATCTCCATACAACGGCTCTGAGGGAGCTGAAGGGCTGGGGGAAGGCTTCTACGCGGTCCGCAGGTGCGACGCGAGGGGGGGAGTGTTCCCACTTTCCTTTTCGAGCAGAAACGTTGTCGAGCAGCCACCGCTCGCAGATTCACCCGCAGTTACGGTGATCGTTCGTCCCGTGGAAGAGAAGCTCGTCGAGGCAGGTCTTCCACGGCAGACTCCTGTCAGTTAGATCTGAGGGTGAATATCCCCTAGAGCAACTTCGATAAGCCTTAACGAGCGAAAGCCCGTCACGATCGCACGTGGCCGAGCTGCTCATCAGCCCAGGCCCTGAACCAGTACGATTTCAAAACTTCCTCACCGAAACTCGGTGCAAGAGCTGTGCTTCTAGTCATATGTGCAGCTCATATGAGTGAGGAGTGCGTGTGTGTGTGTGTGTGTATGTGTATGTGTATGTGTATGTGTATGTGTATGTGTATGTGTATGTGTATTTGTGTCTTGGGGTTTCTCGTTTGACAGTGATCAGTTCTTCCCCGCACGGGATTAATTGACAGGAGCGTTTGCTCTTTCGTGCAGCTCAACTTGTGCGTTCGTGTTGAGCAAGCGAATGACGAACGTTCGTCGAGTGGTTCTCGTGTGATGGTGTCCACAAACTTCGCGGCTTAGAGGTGGTAGCTTTGGTTGCTTCCAGGAAGCGAGCCCCGTGGCCACCGGGTCTCACGACTGAGCTCAAGGCTACTTTCTTGCTCGGCTCGGGGTAGTTCGAACTGTGCGGCGTGCTTGGGCAAGCGTTTGGTGCAATGCATCTGGGATTCGGCAGGCCGTCGTGCCGCGGTGCCACAGAAAACTTGGCACGGTTCTCAGTGCCTTCCCTGCGCAACGCCGAAGCGTTCTTAAGCTTGAACTTGAAACCCATCGCATTTGCTGCCGAGGATGGCTCCCAGCGCTTGCAGAAACGATGCCAGCAGCTCGAGCCGGGACCTAGGACTTGGCAGAGAAGGTGAAAGGGCCCGATGAGGGGTCTAGAATCTAGAAGTCTGATTAGGGTTCAAAGCTCCTACTGCGGCATGTCAAGTTTTACATCTACATCGTCGATCCCGAAACTCCAGACATTCGAGGCGGGAGTTGGAGCGAAACAAAGTCAACGTCACACACTTCCTGGCCATCATCGAACGGGCGGTGCCGAGTGCTTAGCCAGGCGCAGAACAGGAGCCCGACATTCCGACCTGTTTTTTGGCTGCTTTGTCCTTTAAAGCTAGGCCCTGTCTGCGCCCATCTTTACCAGAAGAAGTGAGCTGTCAGCGGCGAAGCTTAAACGAAAGCGAGCTGTTGCCGAGGTCCATGGAGGGCGAGCCCACGGTCGCCGCCCTGCTCGAGGCCCTGCGCGAAAGGCGCCCGTGGTTCATCGTCCTGCTGTACGATGTGAGAGTATTCACATTTGTCATTGCCCAAACTTTTATCATGTTATCATTATCAAGATTAAGAGCAATAACAAGTGAACATGACAGTAGTAATAGTAGTAGTGGTCGTCGTCGTAGTCGGAGTAGTCGGAGTAGTCGGAGTAGTAGGAGTAGTAGGAGTAGTAGGAGTAGTAGGAGTAGTAGGAGTAGCAGAATAGTGGTAATGATAAGGGATCGAAGGTTTGGACTTGATTGTTTTCTCTGCCAATTGGTGACCATTCTTTGGCGGAAATGGCGGAAGGCGTACGCCTCAACGCTGCAGCCCAGAGGAAACTTTAGGGATTAGGGCAAGTTTAGGGTTTAGGGTTTAGGGTTTAGGGTTTAGGGTTGCTCATGATGATTTTGGCCCCAGAAGCACACGATGAAGGGAGCCAGGCTTGATTTCCGCGCGCGGCGCCGAAAAACATGGGTGAGGTTAGCCTGGCCTCCCTTCACTGCTGCGTAGCGAATCAATGGTGTTTTTTGGTGGTCTGATCGGGAGACGTATATCGGCGTATCCGTAGCAGCCGCCGGACCGTCATCATTATCAGTCCCATCATCGGTGGCAGTTGTCAATGTTGCGCTTCTTCTTTGTGCCAGCGACATTCATGCAACAAACGCCGAAGCTGCCTGTGGCCAGGTTCCTCTCCTAGACCTGTGCTGCGGGCGCACTGAGATCTCAAATTGTGCCAGCTGCCAATCCCCAAATCCCCTGAATCCCCGCAAGAGAGCTTCGAAGCCCGACTCCTGAAAATTCAGACCCCAAAGGCTAAGCCTCAAGCTCTTCAAGAACCGGTTGCCGGTTGCATCCAAATTCACAAACCAATTCGGGGGCACGCCTCCCGGTGATAGGGCCGGCGCGCGGCCCAAGACATGTCGGTGTCTTCCAAGGGCCTTGATGCATGTCTGTGTTGGGGTTAGGTCAATGCAAAGAGCGTTCTTTTCGTTGTTCAGGGCTTTTCGGGCGGAAGTTGCGGAGGTTTAATTTGTGGTTGCTGACTCTGACTCTCCCGAGGATTTAGAGCTTAGAATGCCAGGCTCGAGCCCAGATCCAGTTTTTTAGCCTTTGCAAGGGGGGGGGGGGGACAGGAAGTGCTCTGAAAGTACCCGGAGCTACCAGAACTCGGCCCAACCCCCGCCCCTGGCCATACGCAGTCAGCTGGGAATTTCTCCAAAAAACGGGGTGACCCTGATACCGCATACCTCCCAAATAATAGTCCACGCCTTGTTCGTATAGGGACCCCCCAGAGAAGGAGTACCCCGTACTTTGGGAAATCTCCAGCTGTCGGCTCGGTGCCTGAAGTTGTGCTCAACGCCCTGAAAGCCCGAATCTCGCTCGCCTGCGACGGTTGGAGAAAGGCTCTGCCTTCGGGGTTTTGGAGGGGTTTTAGGGATGCTTTTTGGTCGAGCTTCATGTCGACTCGAACACTGTATATGAAGCAGTGCAGCAAGCACAACTTGGCTCTTCTGTGCGGATTCCGAGTCCAGTCGCACTTGCTGAGTGCCAGCTGTGTTTCGGGAATCTGGGACCCCGAAAGTACCGTCGACTGTGCGTGTTGACCTGGGGGGCAGAGCTGGCCAGGTAGATCAGCGTGCGGCGCTTTTTGGCAGTCGATTTCAAGGCGACGTGGGGGGCATTTTGTCAGCTTTGATTTGCGGTGTGGGTGAGACGACGCACTCTGAGCCCAAGAAATGCTCCGAACCCTACACCCTGACAAGCTCTCAAAAGCGCACATGAGCCTTCATAAGCCCTCAAAGGGGGCCTTCACTAAGCTTCGACACAAAGAACACCTCCCTCTCTGTTTTGCTGTGACCATGAAGGCAAGGGAGGGGCTCAGAAGCCCAAGGATGACACCCACGCCGCCGCCTCCAGGCCACAGCACCAGTGCCTTTTGAAGGTCTCCTTTTGCTGCGAGCCTTTCGTGAGCCTCTTAGGGTTTTGAGGGGTTCCCCCTGTTCAAGATGGCTTTTTTCCGTCATTTTGGAGAAGATGAACTTTGTCGAATGTCGAGTGCCGGACAGGGAGATGATGGAGCGCCAGAATGACGCGGCCATCGAAGACTTGGAGGCGAAAGTGGGGCAGCTGAAGGACATCACGAGGCGGGGCGGGGCCTTGTTGGGGTCACCTGGGGGGGATGGCTACATCCGCCTCTTAGACAGGTTAAGATCCACCCCCAGCACCGGCACTCTCCAGTTTTGCGGGCTTTATTATACCGACTTCAATCTATCTTACAGTATCCCCTGAACAGAGCAGGTACATGGGGGCCCCAAGGGCCCCAATCTCTTCCGATCCCGAGCCCAAACGCTTCGGAAACTCTCCAGGAACATTGGCTCCTCGATCAAGGACTCCAACAGCTTTCTGGATCAGATGGGCAGCCCGCTGAGCTTCCCCTACTTCCCTCATTCCCTGCCAACCAACAGGAAGCCTTTGGGTCTTGGGGGTTTGCGGGGTTTAGGGGTTCGTGGGGGTGTAGGCTTCAGGGTGCTGCGCGGGCTTAGGGTTTGTGGGCTTTGCGATCTCTCTGCTGTACTTCCCGGTGTGGGCCCTCCCAGGAAGCCCCCTCTTCATCCACAAGTTCCACAAGCCCCAAAAAGCCCCGCAAAAAAACCCATCCGAGCCACTGCCCCCCCGAAACCCTTAAAACCCACCCTTCAGACCCTAGCCCCACAAAACCCTTAACGACTGTTAGTATAAGGGGGAGCATCCCAAGGGGAACCACCCTCAAGACCCTAAAGCCCCCCAAAATCCTTAAACTCTGAACCCGAAACCCCTAGCCCTAAACCCTAGCCCTAAACCCTAAACCCTAAACCCTAAACCCTAAACCGTAAACCGTAAACCCTAAACCCTAAACCCTAAACCCTAAACCCTAAACCCTAAACCCTAAACCCTAAACCCAAAACCCCTCAAGCCCGCCTCCCCCGCAAGACCACCGAGGCATCGACTTTGACAAGGCTGCGGGGCTCCTGAAAGGCACTCTGGGCAACCTCAAGGCGCGCCTCTGTGGGACCTAGAATCTAGGGTTTAGGGTTTAGGGTTTAGGGTTTAGGCACTATACCTCTTGCGGAATGTGTTTGAGATCTTCTGGAGCCGAGAAGAGCGCTCTCATGCCCGCTTTCCTAGGGGGTCCGAAATTAGGGGTTACCTTATTGGGGTCCCTATCATAAGGGAATCCTACTATTTGGGATCCATAATAAGGGTCCCTTGTTTTCGCAAACCCCCCCCCCCCCCCCCCCCCCCGCGAATCCCAAGGGGATGATGGCGAACAAGAGCAGCAAGCACATGATCTACATGGTGCTCTTTGCCCAGGGCCCCAGGAACTTCCGGGCCATGCCAAAGAGCCCTTTTAACGGGTTCCAGCCCCTTAAGCCCTGAAACATAAGAAGCCCCTAAAGCCCCTGTAGTTCTCAGCCCTAAAGAAGGGTGTAAGACGTCTTTTTAAAGCCTGAAACATAAGAAGCCCTAAAGCTCCGTAGTAGCAACCCGGAAGAAGGGTGTAAGACGTTTTTGGGTTTGCTGTTTGGCCTCCGCCGTGCAGGCCGAGGACCATTTTTCAGGTGTGGCTTGTGGAGGGAGACTCTGTGGTGCCAGAGCCGTGTGACTTGAGGTCGTATGCCTGTTCCTCCTGATGTACTTCCTGAGGAAGATGAGCTTCGGAGGGCCCCGGCCTCAAAGCACACGGAGCCTCAGAGCCGGTTTTTCCAGCACTTGGGAACCGAGGTCCGGTGGGGCGACGACCATACAGCTGCACATCCCTCAGTGCCGAGTTGCGCGCGACATGAACACACGTGCAGCATGTGTCGCTTCTGCCCGAAGCTCCTGAGCCGAGGAAGGAGAATGCCTCAAGCGGCGGGTGAGCGAGGGTCGCGAGAGCTTTGCGCCTGCGCTCATGGTTCAGAGTTTCGGGGTCAAGAAGTTTCAGTGGACATGACACAGCTTAACATCAGGGTTTGCAGAACTTGTGTAGGGCCTTGCGGCCTGTCCCGCTGGGCCTCGGTGGCGGGGACGTTGCGCCACGGGAGCCACGAGGAGAAACGATGGGTCCGGAATGCTCTCCCATGGGGCTCTGATGTACCCCTGATAAATGGCTTTAATGCTCGGAGCTTCGTGGAAAACCTATGTCTGTAGTTGTGACTTTGTTTTCTAAGCATGTACATGTGTAGAATCATGTAATATAACAGCGACAAGTAAACCCGAGCGCCATGTTTTTTTAGTGTTACTCGTAGAGCATATACTGCACATACTAGCATATACTGTACATGTGAGCAAAGACTGTGCTCAGTATTCATCAATACTGTATGCCCCTTAATGATTCACTCCCTCGCTCACTCAACGCTTTTTCTCCATGCGTCCACTGCTTACTGGCAGCAATCATACACTCCCCCTTTCACTAGGCATCTGAGGACGGCGGGGGAGGAGGGCTCCATTCCGTGGATGGCGATTACGTACTACAAAACAGCACAACTGACCTCTACAACTGTTACAAGGAGGTACTTTGAGAGGTGAGGCCGGTCGGAGCTGCGGAGATTCACTCGTCAAGGCGAGCTGGGCAGGGTCAGCAAAAGGAGGTTCCTCTGGGACGGGGAGGGCCGTGAGAGGTGAGGGCAGTCAGGAGCTGTGACGGGATGAGGCGAGGTAAACCCCTGCAAAGCTTTCACTGGAGCCCCCCCCTTCCACAGGGGGTCGGTGGCTAATGGCTAATGTCGGTGAAAGCGCTCGGTTGAAGTTTTCCTGCGTGAGGGAGGAAGGGTGCAGAGACTTGCCCGCCTTTCGATACAGACATTGGCGCGGCAGAAAAGTGACCGCACGTTCAGGCTTCATTTGTTAGGTGCCCTCCCGCTAAACATCTCCAGACCTCTTCACCCCAAAACAAGTCGGTCGGAAGAAGCTCTCGATTGAAGCAGGGCTGTTCTGTGCCAGTTGTGGGCATACTTCGTCGAATGAGATATTATTGTTATTATTCTTATTTTTTTATTCTTCTTCTTCTTATTATTACGATTATTGTTATTGTTCTTGTTATTGTTCTTGTTCTTGTTCTTGTTATTGTTAGTGTTATTGTTACTGTTATTGTTATTATTGCTGTTACTGTTACTGCTATTGTTGTTATTGTTATTGTTATTGTTATTGTTATTGTTATTGTTATTGTTATTGTGATTGTTATTGTGATTGTTATTGTGATTGTTATTGTGATTGTTATTGTGATTGTTATTGTGATTGTTATTGTGATTGTTATTGTTATTGTTATTGTTTTTGATGCAGTTCTTGTTGCCACCAGGGAGATGTTGGAGTCCTCGCTTCCTCCGGCTCTAAGCACGGCCGAGGAAGACATGATTGAGCGGAACATTCTTAGCTGCGCGTGGAAGCAGCACGGTCATGACGGAATCAAGCTAGTCTGAGCGCTTCTGCAGGAACCAGGCAGCATCAATGTACAAGTTCTCAGACAAGTTTCAACCGTACTTCCTTGCAGCGTCTCTTCAATCTAGGACGTTCGAGTACAGGGACATGTGACCACACGCACATCCACCCTTTCTTAAAGATTCGACAGGCTTAGGGCGTAGGTCCCTGTGTGCGGCTAATTCCTCAGTCGCAGCCTCGGTCGTCTTGCCGAGAGCTCCAAGATTTAGATGGTTTCATCCCTGCTGAGATTCGCTGCCGAGTCTTAGGTTCGGGGTTTTTAGGTACTAGGGTTTAGCGGCTTCTGTAGATTGGAATGGCTTCAGCTGAGCATCTGAGGGGCGGATCGAATCTAAAGAGAGAGTGCGAGAGAGTGAGAGGGAGAGTGAAGCGAGAGAGAGTCAGAGACAGACCGAGCCACACAGAGCCAGAGCCAGAGCCAGAGAGACAGTGAACGTTGCTGAATCCTTGGTCGCCAGGCTCACGCCTTGACTCTGGATTGTGTGGCCGATGTGCGCAGCATGTTTGCGATGAGAGCATGTTGGATGTACTGGCTGCCGGAGGAACTTTCTTCACAGCTCCAGGCACCTAGGTGCTGCGCAGATTTCGGACTCCTGCGCCATGGCCGCCACGGAAGAACTCTTAGGACTCTTGGGCCCGAACCTCCAGACCAAGGATGGCGTGAAGCCGACCTCCGACGTTCTGAAAGACAAGAAGGCGGTGCTCCTGTACTTCTCAGCGCACTGGTGCCCACCGTGCCGTGGCTTCACGCCCATCCTGGCCAAGGCCTACAACGAGTACGCCGCGAAGGACGTGGAGGTCGTCTTCGTGTCCAGCGATCGCGATCAGGCCGGCTTCGACGAGTACTACGGAGAGATGCCGTGGGCCTGCCTGCCCTATAGTGACCGAGGCAAGAAGGACGAGCTTGCGACCAAGTTTGGTGTCCGGGGCATCCCGATGCTTGTCGTGCTGAAGCCCGACGGCACGGTGGCGTCGGAGAACGGACGCGGGGAAGTGCAGGGCAACCCTGACATGAAGGCAGCGCTCGGCGCTTGGGGCCTCTGAGAGGACATGGGCCCAGCTGTCAAATGGGAGCTGTCAGGAGTCTAGGAAGTGCATCCAAACATGGAAGATGCATAATAACGATGCTTTTAGGCTGCACGGGGTCGAGGGGTCATCACGGGATCCTAGACACTAGACTCCTGGGACGAGGTATGAGGTTCTATCGCAGGCTATCTGCAGGCAAGCCCGCGATCGTAGCATCTTCAAAATAGATTGCGCTCTCATCGCCAGATGTACAGACTGGCAATGCGTTGACTCCCGGACAGTATGCTTTGGACGAAAAAGGCGCTGTCTGGAATCGCCGCGCACACGGAGACCTTGGTGGTGTCACACTCAGGCACAGGAACCTGAAGCTCCTTTATCGCCGGGGGGCCCGGCAGGTCGTCGATGTGTTAGTAGCCTGTAGCTCTTGATATAGTTCCCT